CACCCATGAGTGAGTTGGGCACTGATTAGCTGCGGGCAAGGAAGAGACCTCACACCCCAGCGGCCTTAGCATTGCTCCCAGGCCTGGAAGCGCATCAGCCCCAAACACACAGGCACACCCCCCATCACCACCACACCACCTCCAGGAGTCCAGCGCCCGGGAGGCCTGGGAGGGATACTCCCCTGCCTGCCTCCTGCCCACCCTTTCTCTAGGGAGCACAGATCTTCCCACAATTGCTCCTTGAGGCTGACCACTCCCGTGCGGAGACTGGTTACCATGGGGATAATAGTAGTACGTTAGGATAACTAATTCCTCCAAACCTCTCCAGGAGCTTAGTTACTATGGGGACAGCTAAGTGGACCAATCCTCCTATCTGGTTGCCATAGCAACCATTCAGCTCACCTCTCCTCAGAGACTTTATCTCTAAAAACCAATCACTGGACCCACTCTTAGCCATTTGCCAAGAGTCCGATTACTGTGGCTGTGATGTTGCTATTTCATCTTCAAAGACGGCTTACCTATCCTCTCCCCTTCCCGCTGTGTCTGGACTCCATGGAAACCATTAAACTCTCCCATTTCCCCCAAGCAAGCAGTCGTTGTTAGGCCCAGGAGTTATGCTTTCTGCTTGTCTTCCTTCCACAAGCCATTTGTCCCTCCTGCCTCCTTGCCAGAGACGCACTGATTCCTGACTTGGAGAAGTTTGCCCAAGTGACCCAGTAGTTTTTAGAATATGGACTAAAGGAATTCATTTTCCCTCCTCAATTTTCACTTCTTTCCAGCGTGCCATGGGGCCTTGCTTTTGTTTGCCTTTGTCCCTCTCTCCTGTCTTCCTTGTTCTCCCTGTCTACTGCCCTCTTCCCACCCCCACTGGCATGCTTACGAAAGGACACATAACACGTATGAGATAATACACATCAAAGACCCTAATTTATTGCCCAGTCATTCGAGATCCAACTTTCCTTGGCCCGTCAACCCATGCATAGCTGCGAGTGGCATTGGGAACCAGCACAGCAGAATTTTCCGAAAATTTAAGAAAATCCCAACCACCAAGTCCTCGGGAATACGGTCACTGGCAGGGTCCCGCACGGCTCCTCAAACAGCTCAAAAACTTGCCCAAACACAAAAAACTAGTCACTTTGTCAAAATCATCCCAAAGCATTACCCAAGTGGGGCTTTTCCCTGACTCACAGGCATGAAAGAAAACTGTTGCACCTGCTGTTTCATTTTGCTTCCATACAGCAAAGGTAACCATGTCACTGATAATCTCCCTTGAAGACACATTAATACATCTGCTAATCCTTGGCACCCACGCATCGGCACGGAGGCAGCCCACGTAGCTCTTTGCAGGTGGGACACAGGGTTTGCAACGGGCCCGTTACCAAATATGGACACAGGCATTCGGTTGCGAGAAGGCTGCCGTGTTTATTTTAGCAGATGACTAATCTCCCACGGCCCTGAATTAACCTGCGTCGCTTCTGAAGTCATCCTCTTGGATCCTTCGCAAGCGTTCTATTTCTAAGCCGTACCTCCGTATCTGCAGGGTACCTAACGGTAAATCTTGCAGAAGTAGCACAGATTGAATGCTTTCGAATCTGAAAGATTCCTCTTCTTTAAAGTGGCTCTTAAGGGACACTGAAGCTCATCTGTAATTCTGAACTACAATAATTTTCTTCACCTAAACACAGTTTAAAATCAGGCCCATTAGCAGGATTCAATTTATTTTAAAAAACCATGTGAGCCCCTATCCAGGCAATTGGTTTTTCTAATCTTCTATTATGCTTCCAACTGAGAGTCACTGAAACCAAGCTCTAACTAGCTCCTGTCTGCTGCTGCTTTGCTGAGAGGTAAAGTTCTCGATGGGAACACTGGAAATATTAACCAGCTCATTTGGGTATTATCGACGGCTTTCCTTTTCCCTTCTGCGACCGTCCCTCTGTTTCTTTCTTCCTCACATGCATGGTTGCTGAGTTCCAATATGGGCATGTATCTATGAGTCTATGACCCACAGGCAGCTTAAACCTTGTTGTTATTCACATACGCACACCACAACCTGCCCTACACATGACGATTTCTCCATCTTGGGGGACTCTGGTTGCCAAAGCTGTTTTGACTTCTAAGATACCCAATACGGATCTATATTTAGAAGGCTGGGAGGAGGTGGGGCCACCTAACATTGGAATGGGATATATGAACCCTATTCAGAAAGTGGATGATGTCCCGGGAAGGGTGCGCATTGGGGTGCAGGACCAGCCCTAGGCAGAACCGAGAGACGGCACAACTGGTCTTGAGGTCACTTCCCCCGCCCACGCCCTATACTGCCTTCCTCTGTCCTGCTGCCCCAGGCCTTGACCTTTCTGGCCACTGGAAAATGAGTAGATTCTTTCATGGTCAGGGATCAGGGACACCACGCTTAGAGAGCACTTGTAAGATGAGAGCCTCATATGAATGAGGACGCTATTTAGCATGGATTGCAAACACCAGGGAGAAGGGAACTGTTCTCGGGTAGGGGGCTCGTCGCTATGCATTCATCCCACTAGTCCTGCCAGCAGTCTCAGGGCTGGGGGAGCAGATATGTGGAGGGGGCAGGGGACCTTTCTGGCGACCTTAGGAACCACTGGGTTGAGCTTTTCCTTGCCTCCTTGTCATTGCTTCAGTCAGTAGGGCGAATAGGACAGAACCGTCCGAAAAAACAGAGTTTGCCATTTTAACCATTTCTGTCTCCCCAGGCGTCCGGGTGATCCCCCAAACAGCATGTGTCCAGCCCCAGACCTGCCGCCTGGGAATCAGAATTCCTTCCTCCCCGAGGCCCTGAGCGCCCGCAGGCCCCGCAGGCTCCGCCTCCGGAACCTCCCCCTCCCCACGGCATGTTTCACCACGACCCTGTTGCTACATCAGAGTGTATTTTTGTAATTCTTCCAGCTAACATTTCAACGGCCCCGTCTTTCCTGCTCACCCGCCTCTCCCCTCTGCCAGGGGCGAGCGAAAGGAAGATGAAATCAAGCCTGGGGTTTTGACTCGTCACTGCCATCCCTTGTTTGTAAAAGAGCTGTTCTTTTTGACTGATTGTTTTAAACAACTATTTCTCCATTAAACTTCTACTGAGCAAACGGTCAATAAACTGGTTTGCTGCTTTTAAGTGAATCCACTGAGAAGCGCAGACTCTACAAACACAAACACGCACCCAGAGCTGCTGGGCCCGGAGGCAGACGCAAAAAGGGTGGGGCTCTGCTGTAGAGAAAGTGAGAGGGGCGAGGTGCACCCCAAATGTGCAGGGGGCCCCTGATCCAGGCGCAGCCGGTGGGGGGAAAGGACAGGGCAATGGTTCTCAAAACCGCTCCGTGCCCACCAGCACCACACAGGTGGGCCCCACCTCCAGTTTCTGGCTTGGTAGAAATTTGCCTTTTTAACAAGCTCCAGGTGACACAGGTCCCGTTGGTTTGGGACCAGTGGATTGAAACACAGGCAAGGGGTGAAGCCGAGACAAATCTTCGATGCCACTTTTATCCCCAACTTAACGTGTTGAGGTGTGTTACTGTCAGAATCCAGCCAAGAAACTTACAGCAAACCCAAACGTGGTAACTGAAGAGTTAAACATCTGCAAAAATGGGCAGGGTCCCAGGAAATCAGCCAGGGATGGTCAGGCGCTCTGGAGGGCAGCAGGGAGCCCTGGTAGGTGTGGGGCAGTTACCAGAACCCACAAGAACCGCAGCTCTCCGTAGGGAAATAGAGCCATCCCCCCTTCTCTCTCCTCCTCGCTTTCCAACTCCAGCCTGGTGTCTCCTGTTGGCCAGACCTGACCAGAAGCTGGAAAGTTGGGGGTTCAATCCACAGGTGCAGCCACAAAGGTAAGTCGCGGTGGGGGCGTGAGCTGCAAGTAGAGAACGCAGCTACCTGACTGGCACACGCTGGCAAACGCAGGAGAGCGGAATGATTCACGCCAGGGCTTTCTTAGTGGATGGGCGGGGCAAGGACTCAGAAGAGGGAGACCAAAGTCCTCTGCTCTGCCCCAAGGTGAGGAAGGCAACAAGGAGGGGAAAAGACAAACTGCTTCACCATCTGCCAGGCGTGGCTGACTCATGCCAGCACAAAGCGCCTGCATCCGCCCAGAGCGCAGCCCCCTCGCTGGCAGCAATATTAGGGGTCCCTGGAACCTGCTCCCGGAGACAGACACCTCATAGTCCTAAAGGCTTCCCTCCTCCTCGGAGCCCCTCCCCACACTCCCGCCTCTCCTGAAGGCAGACCCGCTGCAAAAGGATCCTTTGGGCCCCCCACCCGCCCCCATGACCCTCACCTTGAACTCTTATCAGGGCAACACATTCCCCTTCTTATTTTAAATATACTCTGAACATTAAACACATTTCCACGACAACGTCCTCAAGCCTGGTTTATTTCGCTGGGTCTTCTCGTAATCTACCGTTGCTGTGCTCAACAGTTCTTTAAAGCTCAGCACCTAAAACTGCAGACGCCAGGCCCTGGGTGGGGTGGTGCCTTCTGCTTCCAGCAGCCCTCCCGCCCCGGCCGGGCTGCCAGCCACGTGGGCCACCACGGCACACGGAATCCACGTCTGCAGGGAGTGGAACATTCAGAACCCATCAGAGCGTCACTTCGTTTCTCCTAAGTCACTTGCTTGTCCCCTAACAGACTCAGGAATATGGCCACGAATACGCTCCCCTCTGTCAATAGAAGCAGCAGAAAATAGTTACTACCTGGATTTCAATCCTAGTGCCATTACTGCCCAGTCTGTGACCTGGGCAAGTTATTTAACTTCTGTGCCTCACTCTCCTCATCTGTAAAATGGGAATAATTATAGTAACTCCCTCAAAGAGTTATTTAAGTAACTCAGGTAAGCACTTGGCCCAGCCCCTGGTAAACGTTCCCTACTGCTACAATAGCAGATCAGTGTGTACACTTTTCTTACGGTGTGATTCGCTGTCATTGAACACCAAGGACAATGACAATCTTATTCTTTGCAGGGGGAGGGGCAGAGGGACAGGCACACATTAAATCAGACAAGGTACCATTTTATTCTTTATAAAATATATTTCATATTGTTGCTGTAAAAACATTACATTTCACATTTTTTAAAAAAATTTTTAACAGTAAAAATAATACTTGGAAGACAGCTGGGGGAAAAGGCGCCAATAAGACAAATTCACAGATGGGATTTATCTCCCTCTTCTCTTTTTTTTTTTGGCCCCGGGTAAAGTCAGAACCTGGGATGACCAGAAAGTAACAGGACAGATTTCTCCCAGCAAATCAGAGTTTCCGCATCCAAAGTCACACTGTTCTCCGAGGAGTCGCGCTATAGACTTCCCGCGGCAGCGTAGCCGTTGCTCGACTCGCTCTCTGAAATTACAGAATTGCTCTCAGAGCCAGTCTAAAAGCCACATGATTATATCCACGCTATTTCACCTGACAGTCCTTTCGCTCCGAAACCGGAGCTCTCCCTGGACCACAGACATCATTCGCTAGACTCTGTGCTCAGGGAGCGCGGGTGCGGACTGGCATCCTTAAACGTGTTGGGAACACAGCACCGCCAGCTCTGAAGGTGACTTTGAGAAATACTCTGGATAAAGGTAACATCGCTGGGATGAACAGTTTCCCAAGACAACTGCTTTGAAAATCAGTCCTGTTAGTTTCAGAAGCACATCCGTGGCAGCTTCCTTCCACCAGATCCGGCTTCCCGGGCGCAGGAAGGAGGGAGATCGGAGATGAGGAAAACAGGCATGATCGCCGGGTCAGCGCACGAACCACCCCCACCCTCCAAGAAGAAACGAATGGAGCGACCCCAGGGACAGAGCACGTGCTAAGAACCAACACAACAGCGACGAGACGGGCGCGGGCGGGGGGGAGGCAGCAGACGCCGCCCCCACCAAAAAGGACAGGGAGCAAATGCAGGCAGGGAAGGCTGCACCAAAACCCAAGACCCAGAACAAAAACAAAACCACCCCAGTTTCTAGACTGTTCCATCCTCCTCTTCTTTCTCTCTTCCTTTCCCGCCCCGTGTGCCAGCGGCCCGGGAAGCCACCTCACAGGGAGACATCTGTGCATCCAGTTACATCTGCATGGTCCAAACTGAGGGAGGGAACCCAACAGCTCCTCTAAAGTGGAGACTCGGCAAGAGGGAACAGAAGACCCTCGGGGGCAGGGTCCCCGCAGGTCAAGAACGCCCCCACCCCTCACGACAGGATCTGCACTCGGACATCGCGGGAAGTGAGGAGCGGGGGGAAGGGCCGCGACGGCAGCCAGCGCTTCGTTCTCAAGGAGGTCGGAGGAACAGGAAGAGGCGCCCTGGGCCACCTCGGGCTGGCCTGCTTTTCAGCTCTACCAAGACACAGAATTCCACGTACATTTTTTTACTAAGTTATGACAACATACACCATCACCGCCAAAGACACCTGCGCATAAGAGTGTCTGTCCTGTCACCAACCAGGGCACCATACCCTTCAGAACATCAGGCCCTGGTGTTGGTTAGGTCTGCAGGTTTCGTAACACTCAGCGTGTCTCGGCTTGACAAGCACATGTCTGTCGCCCACGTGAAGCATCCAACAGAGCCTCAGTGCCCAGGTGTCTTCACTGGGACTGAGAGGACAAGTTCGATGACACCCAAGGGGTGGATGCTGCCGCTCTTGCTAGGAGAGGTGGCTTGGTGGGATTCCCTGAGCCCCTGACATCTGGGACATAGGGCTAGGGCCTGTCGCCGAGACAGCTGGGCACCAGGTGGTCACATTCAAGCAGGCCCCGAGGGAAGCTCGGCAGAGAGGGGAGGTGCCGGGACAAGAGCACGTCCTGCTCGGGGGCTCCGCCCTCGGTCCGTGTGCATCGGAGCTGGCCTGGCACTGAACTCCTGGCCTCCCTCCTGCCCGACAGGAACAGCTTTGCTCACTGACCTCAATGCAGCCCAGTTTCGTCTCCCCTAAACGCCTGTAGTCTCCAGAAACACCAAGGGCAGAGACGCCAGGGGCCGCCAATCCAACCTCACTTCTCCCTCCGTGGTTTCCTCAGCCTGAACCTCACTCCCTCGGGGACTCTCTCTGGCCTTCCCCATCCTGCCTCCAGGCAGAAAACGGAAATGGGGAAAGCCCTGCTGAAGCCAGGCAACAAACAGGAACCTACCGGCAACCCACTGGGGTCTCCCCCGGCCGCCCAAATAAAAGGAAACTTTCATCAGTAAAAGCTTCCACATACACCATAAAAAAAGACAGAATGTTCCAGAGGTGCCCTTTCCAGAACTGGAGGGAAGAGACGTCAGGAGGGAGTTTATCTGGGGAAGAGCAGAGAGTTTCTAAAGACACTGAAACCCTCTAGGACTCCTCGAGGAAAGAGGAGAACCATCAAGGTAGTGTTTAACTGCCACATTTCAAAAAGTGAATTCTTACCAGCCTTTTGGCTCAGCCATTTGGGGATAGTCTTTAAAAATCTATTAGTCTGGGCTTTGAGAAGAAGCCATATGACATTTGTTGGGATGCAACCCAATGTCTAAGGGCACCCAGATTCAAACAGTTGTTGCCAAGAAGGGCCTTTCCTTTACCTTCCACGGGAGCTGCTCAGGCGGGAAGAGGCGGCACAGCCTGAGACACGCGGACACCCACCTTGCCACCCATCCACGGAGTCCTGCCTCTGAGTCACCCGTCAGCCAGAAACTTTTTTTTTTTTTTTTTTAAAAAAAAGTAAATTCATCTTGCTCACAGTCCTTTCTGGAAAGAGTTGAGGAAGCAAAGAATTCACCAACTCAGCAGGAAACAGAACGAGCTGTTCCTTCTTTTGATGTGTACAAACTAATCCCCTAGAGAGAGGAGATGCGGGGAGGGAGGGTCATTGATTCTTTGGTCTCTGGTTCACTGCTGAATACCCTTGGTCAGTTTTGGCTCTCTCCTATTTTGGGGGTGGGGGGAGAATATTTCTGTTCCTTGTTTTTTAAAAAATAAAACGTTCCCACAAAGGGGAAAAAATGCTTTAAGTGTTACACCTTCGCCAATCGAGCCCAACCTCTGCATTTCCACTCTATCTTTCCGGTTTCTGCTGAGGGCTGGTGACACCTCATGTCAGCGGCTGCCATCGGGGCCGGCAGGCGGGTCAGTCCAGGAACCGCTGGCAGGCCTTCTTCCACCGGCAGGCCGTGCACCACTGGTCCCGGTGCTCGATGCCATACACCTTGCGGCACTTCTTTGCCTCCCCTCGGGCTTTCCTGCCGAGAGAGACAACCGAGAGCAGCGTCACCAGCTGTGGTTAGACCTGGACAGCTGCCACGCGCGGGGCTGAGTGACCACACAGAGGCCGTGGGGGCGGCTCCCCAAGGAAGCCAATGGGGAAGGGGCCGGAGGCTCCAAGTACGAAAGCCACCCTGTCTGGGGTGCCCTCCATCTGGACTCCCCTCTGGGGACAAACCCTGGTGACTCTGTTGGGTGGACTCAGGAGTCCACGCCACCAGTGGAGACGAGGGGGGACAGGAACCAGAAGACAGGGCGTGATGGCGGACGTCTCACCTGGCGCTGCTCGGGGCCCGGGGCGGAGAAGTAACGATCAGGTGAGATTTCACTGCAGGTGGCAGCTGCTGGGGCTCACTGAAGCTCAGTGACCGGCTCCGGACCTGGGCACAGGGAGAGGGGCCGTGAGCAGGAGGGCAGTCAGACAGGGTGACAGCGCCGTCCTGCAGGACAGCCGGCCACACTCGCCGCACCGCTCCTTGTGCTGCCGGGCCCCGCGGCAAGAGGAGGGACAGGAGGCCCTGCTGTGTGTCGGAGGACGTTCCAGCAGAGGGGTGGTCTCGGCAGCAGGGCCAGGCGAGGCGGGGCTGGAGAGTGAGAAGCAGGCCTTTACGCCACACGCAGAACCCAGCAGGGGCCCAGTGCATGGGAGCCACCTGGCCTGGCCACCTTTAGGGCTGTTCCCTGCAGGGGACTGAGACACAGGGAGGCATCGCACGGCGTCAACAGCACCTCCTGGCAATTTGGTTTTCCAATGTGTGACGCCTCCCTGCAGGAGACGTGTAAGACTAGAGCCCCCTGGGCGTGGTGCACAATGACCTCCAGGTGATTTCGGTTCAGGGTCAAGTGACCTAGGGGCCCTGGTCCCCAGTGGCCGTGAGATTTCCAACCCAGCCCACGCAGCCCTCCACTCTCTCTCCCTTCTTCTTCTCTCGGCAGTAAAACCCTAACAAGCGCCCACCAACACTCAGGGCTGAACAGGACACTGACCCCGGCCTCGCCCCGCGACTCTCTTGGCAGGAAACGTGGCTGATCCAGGCACTGCTCTGCCGGCACTTCCACCTTCTGGGAGGGGCCGTGGCCAGTGGGGAGCGCCAGAGAGGGACCTTCCAGGAGTCTGGGGGCCGGAAGCACAGTGGCAACACCGACCTGTGCCACGTGCTGAGAGACAGCCTATGGCTCTGGGTGTGTGGGCGAGCCCTGGGCTCCCACCAGGCCCCCAGAGTCGGCGCGCCGGGGGGCACAGGGATGGGCACACTCACCGGAGAGAGGGAGCAGGCGGTGGAGGGGGCGGCAGCCCAGCTGACACTCGTGTAGATGTGGGGCGAGACGGGGATCTGGAAGGAAGGCAGAGCCTGCGGAGACGAGAGCGCGTCAGCCCGGGTTCCAGCGCAGGAGGTGCTCAGCGTCCGCCCACGGGCCCTGCAACCTCACGGTGAGCAGCAGGAGGCCCATCTCTGCGTACGTGCAACGACCGGGAAATGCTGGGACATACCCGATGGGTCTTCCCAAGAGCAACGTCAGAGCATCCAACTCTTTGAAGTTGTCTCCTAGCTGCAAGGCTCCCATCTCACTCTGGAACCCTGTTCTCAGAGTGGACCACGTGCCAGCCTCATGCCTTAATCATCGCAGAGGATTAACTTCCCAGCCGATCGCCTACTAAGAGCGTGCTACAGTAGCTGCCAGAAGAGGTCCAGCAGCCCTCCGTGCCTGGGTGGTATTGCTGGAACAAGACATGGTGTGCCAGGGAACTAGGGGAAGCAGCAACACGCTCGTGGACACCCGGGTTCAGGTCTACTTGTGAAAACACCAGCCACACTGTCTAGCCCGACAGGGTCCGCCAGAGCTGGAAGCTGGCCAACCGTGACCTGGCTAGGCGGCCACTCGTTCTGCTAAGGAGAACTGGCTCATTTTGCAAAGGCTTTCTGATTGCAAGCACTTTTAATTACTAGCCTGCAAACTGACCCAGAGTCCGATAAAACCAAGCTGCAGGCACAAAAGGATTTTAAGAAAAACTGGCACACAGCAAGCCGCACGTTCACTGAGTACCTACTATATGCAGTGAAAGCCATCTTAAATGTCACCCTTTCTGTGACAACTGTCCCAACCACACAGGCATGACAGCTCCGTCCCTCCTGTACCCACAACAGCTTCTCATGCCCCAGTAAATGGTACTTTGACTATTTATTATAACTAACCATACTTACACACTCACTTCTCTCCCCAGCTAAGCCACGCACTCCCCAAGGGCAGGGACTATGTCTAATTCTACCTGAAAAGCTCACTTAGCCCAATGCTTGACACACAGTAGGTACTTACAACACAGGCGCCGGATCACTTGCTAATGCAACACCATCTAGGACCTAGAGAGTTGCTCCGGGAGGCCCAACTACGCCACCCCATCCCTCTCATACCAGCCACGTAACAGTTCCCAGGCCAAATCCATCAACCCTTACTTGTAGAAGTAAGAGATCAGCAATTTGGCCAAAAGGCTCAACCCGCAATCAGGGTGGCCAACGGCCTGTGGTCAGGCTGGCTGGTGACAAGTCAGAGAGGAGGCTGAGCCCCAGAGAGCCCCGCCCCATACCTGGTATGCGTGGTCAGCCTGAATGTGCCAGAAGGACCCCGGAGCTGACTTGCTGAGAGCGCCCGAGGGCAGAGAAGACTCCAGGCCAGGGCGTTCCGGGCCGGAGGGCTGGGCTTTGGGCGGAGGTGGGAGAGCGGCGAGGGGCAGGCCGGTCACGCCGGGGGCGGGCGCCGGTTCGGCGGTGGGAGTCCGAGGCGCGGGGGTGCCCACGGCAGCAGCAGCAGCAGCAGGTTCCTCCTTCATCTGCACCTCCGTGTAGTAGAAGTCCTCCTCCCGCTTGAACTGGTCGGAGTCCACGGTGTCCCTGCGTGGGAGGGAGACGCAGGCACGGTCAGGGACACGCTGCCCCGGGTCAAACCGGGTAGACTGCAGTGCAACAGGGAAGGGACTGCTCGGGGCCACCCAGAAAGTCAGAGAAGGAGCCCATGAGAACACCCAGGGGCCCCACTCCTGACGCACGTCACAGGGGTCACGGGCTGCACATCAATAGGAATCGTTTTTCCTGGCACCTGAGGTTTGTGCTCTCCCAGGACGTGAGCCAACCTCTCCTCCGCCAGGAGGTGTCCGGCCCTGAGTGCCACCACACGCCCTCTCTGGGCCCCACCTGCCGGCAGTCCCGCCCCCTCCCCAGGGCTGTGAGTCAGCCCCTGACACAGTGGCCATGCACATTCGCGCTGCCAGAACGAGGCGCTGGGGCCAGGGCCGACCGAGAATGACCGCTGCTGGGAGGCAGGCGCGGCGCTCGGCCACTGCACACCTTGGCAACAGGGTCTCAGCAGTGATGGAACCAAATCACCGTTTCACCCAGAACTAAACATCTTGCTCTCTACAGTGAAGGGAGAAGATGCATCCACAAGATGGACAGAGTTCCCTTCCCGCCAACAGCGGCGACACTCGCCAGGATGTCTTTCCGACGGGGGCCAGGAACAGGAGGTGGCGTCCTCAGCGCCCCATCTCCTCGGCAGCATTCTGGGCCGGGGGTCGTGGGGAGTCAGCAGGTGGAGGAACATCTGAAGGTACCGCAGGCCGGAAGCCCCGGGCCCCACACTTACCCCAGGTGGAGGGCTTTGACGTGTCGTTTGATGCCCACGATTGAACGCAGAACTTTGCCACAGTTTGGCCACAGGCACTTGTACATCACCTTCACGGAGTTCTAGGGGGAAACCGAGACTGGGTAAGCGGGACACGTTCTCCTCCTCATCAGTCCTCAGCCTTACCCCGCAGGGACTTGAGCTGGCTGCTGTCCTCTGCCCAACCCTACAACGGCCTCCGGGGAAGGGGTTCTCTGGGACCAGAGAAACTGACAACCAGGAGCCAGAAAGCCCTGACCCAAGAGATGGTCCTAGTGGGCAAGAGCTGGGTGCCGTGGCTAAGACCCCAGCAGGAGCCACGCACGCATGGGCCTCTGCAGGAGTGGGGGGGAGAGGGCAGGGGTCGGGGAGAGGTTAAAAAGCAAGGAGACTGCCATGAACGAGGCGGCGGCGGCTCCTAGGCAAATCAGCAGGTAACAAGCAGCAAAGGAAAACTGAAATGGGGCCTGTGAGGCCCCCTCCCCTGCGTGGCCGTCCCTGCCCAGCCCGGCTCACGCCCATGCCACAGTCGTGTACCTTTCTTTTCCTCGGAGCTGGTTCATCCAACAGGAAAGGGTCGGGATCGGTCTCAAAGCCGTGATCAGTTTGAGGAGAACCAAAGGCATCCCCCAGATACTTGGGGCTGGCCTGGGGGTGGGGGGGCGAGGGGGTGGAGATGCCGCTGCTCCCACTCCAGTGCCCGCTGGTGGTGCTGCTGCCGCTGTCCGACACGTCGCCGCTCTCCTTCCACGGGTCGCAGGCCGCGCGGGAAGCTGGCAGGGCAGAGAGAAGACGGAAGGGTACTCACAGGCTTGTCCCCAGGCCAAAACAGAAAAGAACCAAAAACCTCTCCCTTGCGAGAGTCGGTAAGCACAGGGAGAAGCCGGGAGCCAGGCCGTTCGCCACCACGCTTCCTACTGCTCTGCCCTGGTGGACGTTCCCGCCACGCTGCTCATCACTGTACAATAGTCGCGCACGGCAACTTCTTTTTGTTAGGGTTCACAGACAGGTGACCTAAGTAAAATTCATGCCTCACTTTACATGTTAAATAAAAGGGGGGGCGGAGCCTGGGTGAGAACAGGCACCTGCAGGGTGCTGGGTACCCGGAGAGTTTCCCAGTGGCTGAGTGGGATGCAAAAGCCAACTTAAACCGCCTCCTGACCAGCTTTCTTGAGAAATGCCTTTCGACCACGCAAACCCAGGCCAGTCCATGAAAACCCGGGAGTGGAAAGAAACCACTCAGCCCTTACAGCTCTCGGTGCGACGCCTCCCAGAGCTACTGCGGCCCCAGTCCATCCTGCTGCGTCCAGAAGTAACACGTTCGGAGGAAAGACAGTTCTGAGAGCAATTCCAATGCCCGCAAGGTGACAGGAGGCTCTTGCGCCTGGCACAGCCCTGACGCACCTGCTCTGGTCCGTGAGTGTGTCTGACCAGGAAGAAGGGGCAGACAGGCATGTAGAATCTTCAGGGGATTTGTTTTATTTATTTCAATAGATACAGGGGGTACGAATGGTTTTGTTATGTGGATGAATTGCATGGTGGAGAAGTCTAGGCTTTTAACATACCCGTCACCTGAATAGTGTACACTGTGCCCAACGGGTAATTTTTCAACCTGCTCCAGTGTCCCTCATGCCACTCTGTGTGACCGTGCATACCCGTTGCTTAGCTCCCACTTCTAAGTGAGAACGTGCGATATTTGGTTTTGTGTTCCTGGGTTACTTCACTGAGGATCATGGCCTCCAGTTCCGTCCAAGTTGCTGCAAAAGACATTATTCCGTTCTGTTTAATGGCGGAGTAGCGGACTCTTCGGTTTTAAACTGCACGTCCGCAGGCCGCTCAGGCCCAACCCACACTCTTCCATTCCCAGGCCAAAAATCCAGGTTAACTTACAGTAAAGGAGAATCTGAAATTCCAATACATGGAAATACCAAGTGACGGAAAGAAAAAAACTACCTATCCTCAAAAGCCCCAAGCCCCAGCTCTAACCCTGGGTGCCAGGATCCACTTCCACATCCCTTGCGGCCAGGATACAATCCTACTGCCCTTCTCTCCTCCTGCTCACAAATCCCTGCTGCTTCCGTGCTACCCTGGACAGGCTCCTGGCTTCCCAGGTTTCCAATCCAGGTGCCCCTTAAAGCTCCCTCTCTCAGGAAAGCCCACCCAAACAGAACAGGATGGAGGAAGAACTCTTCCCTCCCCAAATATCACTGTCAAGTCTCAAAGCTATCCTTTTCCCCTTCTGGGAACTGAGATGTTACTACATGTACACATGAGTTTAAAGCAGGGAAGAACTCAAGAACCACGCAACAGGGCCAAGGTCCAGGCACATCCACTCAGGAACCCCATCGGGGAGAGAAGGGCAGGGAGTGGAATCCTACATCACTACATCCAGAACGATCAGGACTCTGGGAACAAAGGCTAGGTCAACCAGCCGGCAAACCCTACAAATGCGGCAGTCCTCTCCATAGGGATAAACCCAAATGGCCCAAATGCATAAAATCTGTATGGCAGAGTTTGATTGGCACAGAAAAGAAGCAAAGCACAAAACAAAAAGTTATCTGTAAAAGTTGTAAGTTAATTTATAAGTTATTAACTTACTCCAGCTTTGATCGTAAGTGTTTCTAGGACAAAGACAATAAATACGTATTCTATAGCACGAAAACAGAGCACTCCTGTGCAAACACATAGCACAGAGAGCTTACAAGTGAGCTTTTGAGAAATATTTATAATCCCCTCTGTTCTCCCCACCCCCCCACACACACACACAGCCATCCTAACAATACAGAGACCAGACAGAGTGGTGGCTCTTGTGCAGACAGTATCCATGATTAGAGTAAGGTTTTGACTGTTGCCTAATCCGCACTTCGCAAAATACTTCCAGGTAATTAACTGCCAAGGAAGCCTTATTTTTCCACTGACTTCAACTATAAAATCAGAACTATGTTGTCACGAAAAAAATCTTAGACAATGAAAATTTTTTTCAGAAAGGGAATCAAGATGTCAGGATTGTGGCATATTATCAGTGAGACGTATGTATGTTGGTGTGCACACGTGTATACATGTTATTACACATACACACATGTACATACATTCCTGCCGGGAACAGCAGTCAATAACTTCCTTTCCCTTTTAGGACACGTTCATGGCTCTTCTCTTTTGACCCAACCTCTTGGATCCCCTAAACCCATACAATTTCCTGAGAACTGAAAATTAACTCCTTTTCTCGGTCCCATTTTGCCTGTGCTAATAGAGCAGGCATGCAATACCAGGCTTCGCAGAGAGGTGTCCTCACAGTACAACGATTTCCTCTAGCACCCAGGTGTCACTGACAACAGGCTTTTGAAATGTCAAATAAGTAAGCTCGCTTTCTCTCTCCTCTGTACCTACTTTCTACCTAGGGAGATTACTTATGAGGGATACTTGCAAAGGCCTCCTGGTACATGCTTAGAGCTAACTCCATATTTTCCTACATGCTTTTAAGTGGCTTGCAATTCAGTTACGTCTCACCAATGAAAAAGTTCTTCCCTGGGGCCAGGCGCGGTGGCTCACGCCTGTAATCCTAGCTCTCTGGGAGGCCGAGGCGGGCGGATTGTTTGAGCTCAGGAGTTCGAAACCAGCCTGAGCAAGAGCAAGACCCCATCTCTACTAAAATTAGAAAGAAATTAATTGGACAACTAAAAATATATAGAAAAAATTAGCCGTGCATGGTGGCGCATGCCTGTAGTCCCAGCTACTCGGGAGGCTGAGGCAGGAGGATCGCTTGAGCCCAGGAGTTTGAGGTTGCCGTGAGCTAGGCTGATGCCACTGCACTCTACCCCGGGCAACACAGTGAGACTCTGTCCCAAAAAAAAAAAAAAAAAGTTCTTCCCTGGGAGTAAGGTAGGCCAGCCCTAAAACAAATTTCCAAAAAACACTTCGAGTTCACTGCCAGCCTTGTCAAACTACTAATACCCAGCAACCGTTCCTCCCCCCATACTACTCATAAGGGGGTGGCAACTATAAGAATTTTGTTTTACTGTATAAATTTGTACCTTGAAGTGATACTACTGGTTTTTAGTAAGCAATTAGATTTATTTTAGACTTTAGCTCATTTACTTCAGGTCCTTGTCCTGTAGGCCCACACTAATTTACAAGGCGGCATTAGGCACTTGGAACTGGGTGCGTGAGTTTTCTGAGGACAATTTAGTCCACATTCCCCTTTGAACTAAATATTCCTCTGCTGGCCTCATTCAGGCCCCCACCGACGTGCCGCACTCACTTACTCCCGGAGAAGACCTTACTCAGGTGGCCACTGTGGCTCAGTCCCGTGTTCATTCATCTTCACAATGCATCTGGAAGCTTCTCCCCAGATGATGCAACTAAGGAGAAAGAACGGAAGCATCTAGCTCAATACCACTCGGCCAGTCTGCGGTGCCAGCGAGAAAAACCTCCAGAAATCCTCTTGCCAGGCTGGTGACTGTGGCAATTAGCTGCTCAACGCTGAAGACACTAGTGATGGGCCTCTGCCTGCCCAAAACCCGGTTAGGCCTGGCTCACTCACCAGAGAAGTTGACCTCGGCCCCGGGAGGGCTCTGCACGATGGGGCTGCAGGACAGGGACGTCAGCACCATGGCCGCCATCATCTCGTCCATCTCCACCGCGTCCGACTTCCTGGGTTCAAACAGGTGAGAGGGAAAGGTTACCTGCTGGGACGGCAGGTGCACAGTCACCACAGAACGAGAGACCACATCGGTTATTTTCATGTGATGGGGATAAGAGGCACCCACTGGAATTCAAAAGCACAAAAATCACCTCCTTTCCCTGTCTTATGGTTAAATGTAAGCGGGAACAATGACACTAACCAATCTCTTCCCATCCTCCCCCAAGAACAGTGACACGGTGTGAGGGTGTGGGCTGCCCTGTGATGGGGGGGGGGGGCCTAGGTGCAGCCTGCTGTCTGTGAGCCAACGACAGTTTTACATCTTTAAGTGGTTTTTAAAAATCAAAAGATTATTATTTCTTGACATGTAACACATGAAAATTATGAAAACCTGAAATTTGAAGGCCCATAATGAGGTTTTTTGGGGTTTTGGGTTTTTTTTTTTTAGAGACAGGGTATTACTGTGTCGCCCAGGCTGGAGTGCAATAGCACGAGCTCAAGCGATCCTCCCACCTCAGCCTCCCAAGTTGCTAGGATTATAGGTACGTGCCACCATTCCCAGCTATTTTTTCTTTTTAATTTAATTTCTTCGTAGAGACAGGGTCTTGGGGTCTCACTATGTTGCCCAGTCTGTTCTTGAACTCCTGGCCTCAAGAGATCCTCCCTCGGTCTCCCAAAGTGCTGGGATTACAGTCAAGACTACCGTGCCTGGCCCGTCAATAAGGTTTTACTGGAGTACAACGATGCCCGCGTGTTTCCGTATCATCTCTGATACGCTGTCCCAACCCTACCACAGCAGAGCTGAGCAGCTGTGATGGAGACTGTTTGGCCCACGAGGCTTAAATTATTTACTATCTGGCCCGTTCAGAACAAGTTTGCTGACTCCCAATCTAAGCCATTTCTTCCCTGTCCCCAAACTGATTTTAATAAAGGAGGGAAAAAAAACAGCCTTTCACTGAACCAAAGACACGTCACCCGTAAGAGAGTGACCGGGAGGAAATGGATGCTCGTTGGCATCTTGGCACCTGGACACTCAGGACCCCCCACTCCTGCCCCATCACAAGGCAGCCCAGACTGTCACGCCTCACCACCCACGCGGCTTTCAAAGCCCAGGCCGTTGCCCCACACAAACCTCTTCGGGACGTCAATGTTCCTGGAGACAGGCCTGTAGGCCACGGCCTGGGCTCCGTGCTCCAGGGCCGGCACCTGGGGGACGGGGCCCTGCAGCTCCGCCAGCCACACTTCCTCCGCTCTGCAGCAGATCTGTAACTTCTGGTCCAACAGCCAGACGGTCACCTGGTCCTCCGCCCAGCTGTGCTGCTCCACCAGTCCTGCGCACTCCTGACCCGCGTACCACACGTAAACCTGGGGGGAGGGGAAGCACAGCCGGTGGGCAGCAGGTGTCACCCTAAGTTCTCATCTGCCCCCAGTCCCAGAGGCCAGGGTGTCTGCCTGTGACAAACTGTGTCCTCTGACTCCCCCGTCTTCCACTCAAGACGTTCCCAGCTACCTGCAGCCGGAGCCCACCTGCTGCCCTGAACTGCTCCGACCTGCACTTTCCCTCCAGAGGACTCCGAGTCTCCCGGGGACAAGCTGGGAGGAGTGGAGGCAGGCTGACCCCTCTCTAGGGGGTACCTGGAAGCTGGAGGTCACCTTCCCTCCGGGGAAGAGAGGCCTGGAGGGCACAAGGGACACGAAGAACACAGAGTCCCTATTTGCGGGCCCTTGAGAAAGCAATGGAAGCGAACTCCGTGCACCTGCTCTGGCAATAACATCGGACAAGCCTGGGCCCTGCCACAGGGGAGGGGACGGTGGGAAAGGAAATCCACATCGATTCCCAACTAAACAAACACCTTGTTCTCCCGAAAACGTCCAAAGGTAATTCAAAGACGCAATGTTCTCTGACTCTCACGAGCCTGAGGTCCTTTCCCTTGCTTTTTAAGTTGTAAACTGAGGGAGACTAAGAGAAACTGAGCTATGGCTGTGATTCCGACTGAGGTTTCAAGCAGGCCAAAGCCCAGAACATTGGGTGCCAAGTCCTGCCACCTTCTCCTACGGACAACACAGTCTTGGAGGAGCTGGGCCTGCCAGCGAGGACATTCTCTTGGGCAGGAAGCCCACGTGGCTGGAGGGAAAAGGTCTGTGCTCAAACTGGTGCCCAGAGAACTTCCAGCACCCCTGGCCTACCAGCCCCGGGCCTTGCGAGATCAGACACCTGTCCATGCTGGGATCAACCTACCTTCTGCCCGGGCTGAAAGGCCACCTGCTGGAGGCCTGAGGTGCCGGGGGCCTTCAGGACCTCCTTGGGCGGCTCCTGGCAGGAGGTGTCCTCAGAGGCCAGGAAGGGCTGGGGAACGGCCCCCTCCAGCAGCGGCTCCAAGGGTGGGGCGGGCCCCGACGGTCCGTCTGGGGCACTGGGTCCCAACACCCGGGCTCCCAGGAGGGACCGCTTCCCAAGGCGCCGGGACAGCACGCTGGCCATGGTGCTGCTCTCCTGCGGAGGGAAAGGGGACACTGAGTCCTCCGTCCATCACCTGGAGGAACCAGGAAGCTTTTAGAACAGAGCCCCACACGCAGCAGGAGCCGATAGGTGTCCATTAAAATAAATGAACATTTTAAAGTAACTTTTACCATTTCTCCTTTTTACAAAAGTAATATCCATTCTTAGTAGGACGTTTAGAAAATACCATAAGCACATAGAAAAACAAATCACTCATGAACCTGCCTCCCAGAGATGCCCACTCTTCTTGTATAGCAGTCCTTGTTTCCTCCTATACGCGTAGTTACGTACTTTTATTTCCATAAAAATGGGATCATCATTTGGTACAATGAATTTTCACTTAATCACTAAGTGTTACTATTTCGTTAAATGTTATTCCGAAAGCAAACATTTAGAAGCCACAGGATATTTTCTTAGGTGGATACAACATTGCTAATTTAACAAATCCCTTATTATTGTAGCTGAAAGCTGTATCCAACGTTTTGCTGTCTAAACGGCCCTGCCCACAGCGAGCAGCCCCTGCGCTGACCCTCTGCGCACACGCGTCGCTGACAGCTTCCTTGGGTGAACTTCCTGGACGTCACCTTGCCAGGTCAGAGCCTGAGCACATTTGTTGGACACACAGATTCTCAAGCTCAGCTGGCTTCAAAGCCGTGGAAACGAACCGCGACACGCTCATCTGACAGGTGAAGAAACTAACGCTGAGAGCCTAAGTGTCCCGTTCACAGTGACTAAGGGAGGTGGTGCCAGAGCCGGAACAGGGCTCTCGAGGTGGATCCTGCCAGGGGACCGGGCTGCCCCTGCTCCCAGGCCCGGGTCTGCGGGTGGGAAGGGAAGAACGGACCTAGCACTTTGCAAACTCCTGCCGCCCTCCTCCTGCAGAGCGTGGCCCCTCTGCCCTGAACCTCTGCCGTTCCAGGTGCTCTGTTCGCTCCCGTTCACTCGCTCCATTAATATCCCACTGAGGGACGGACGTGCGCACGGTGCACCCCAGGGGCTGTGGCGCCAAGGCAGGCCCAAAACATCCGGCTTTCCACACCGATGCTGGCCTCCCTGCCGACCGGTCTGCTGAGCCCAACACCTCCAGAGACTGTTCAGTGACATTCTCCCTGCCCCCCCCACCACACCCCTGCCACACTGACATCAAGAGGACATCTGTCAACACAGCTTTCAGCTCAGTCTTTGGACAGTTCTATAAACCTTCTGTACTGTTTACCCTCGTCCAAAAGTGCCTCAGGGCTTTGTCTGGGTCCCACACCATCTCCCCGTCTCACGAATCCTGGCCTCCTTCCGAACCGCCCCAGCAAGGTATGCTAGCGAACGTCTCCACAGTTACAGAACAGGAATGGCAAAAAGAATTTTAACAGATAATAACAAAGTTGCAAATACTGAGCAAAGGGTTTTCATGAGCGTTTTACTCACAGCCTCAAAGGCTAGACTCTAACAGCACAGATACCCACCGGAGTTCCCTAGAAAGCAAAGATCAGGAAGAGGGAGGAGCTCCGGCCTCAGACGGAGTTCCTATCTAGGCGTCTGGTGTTACATCCAACAATGACTCAGAAAGCATCATTACAACAATAAAAAGAGAGAGAAGTAGATTCTTCACCATTTCAAAAAATATATATACCCAAGCTATTAAAATAAATTGTTTTTAAGAACTCAGGAACCTACCTACCTTCATCCTTGAAGCCTCAGGCTGGGATCGAGAACCTCTCAGTCTCAGTTTAATTGACCCGACAGGGTCTAGAGGTGAAGCCGCAATGCCACATAGAGACATCAGAGGGCAGCATCAACCCAGAGAAAGAGGCTATGCTTTTCTTGGCAATAAGAAAGAAAGAAAGAAAAAAAAAAAACCCGGTGGCCACCCCCACCTTCCAGAGCAGGAAGTTTGGGGTTTCCACCACTGAAAATGAAAAAAGGGTAGTATTTCCAAAATTCCTGGGTTCCCAGTCTTCAGACGGCGCCTGAGATGTTTGGTGAACAAATCCTAACTGTGTTTTTGTAAGCCTTTTTCTCTTTTTTCGTTTTAATTTAAAGAATACTTTTTACTTTCGATTTTGTTTGCAAGCCTGCACCTTCCAAAGCCTGCTGGATTCGCATCGAGTTGGTGAACCTGCCCTCTTCCGGCGGGTTCCCACGTGTCCGCCTTCACTCCACCGACCAGAATTCCACACTGAAATACATTTTATTATTTATTTATAGTCCTCCCAAATCTTAATTTTTAAAAGCAGAAGAGAAAGAAGGAAGGGAAACTGCCTTTACTAAGTGCCTGCTAGGCACTAGCTTTCATAAATTATATCTAATTTAATCCTCGACACGACCGGAGATAAACATGGTCTTTTATTTCTGATGCAGTGATCGTGCCTGGGACAGATCAGGTTGCTGAGGCCACACGACTAAGAAGTGGCAGGTTTGAACTCGCCTCCGTCTGGTGTCAAAAGTCACGATCCAGCCATTATTCCAGTAGGAGTGGGATCTCTCAAAATAAAACACGCGAGTCGCTTTTCATCTACATGGTATTTTTCCCCCACTACATTAGTGAACTTTGATAGAAAACAACAGTTCCTGATAGGAAAGTCTGCATTTGTTTCCTCGTACATTTTCATTCCTTGAAAACTCTCCTCTCCACTTGCATCTTGGCCTCTTACCTATAAAATAAAGGTTTAAGTCCGACCTTCCTCAGCAGTCCAAGCACTGTTAATCATTGAGCAGCCAGGTTTGGGAAGACCTTTATACGCACACTGCCCTCAACCCGAAAAGTTAGGGAAAACTTCAGCCAAGTCTATAGCAGGAATTAATGGCATGGAGGCGAAAAATACGAAAGTAGACTAATCTAGGCGGGGAGGCCTCCCCAGCTGTCAATCGATGCCTCTCCTGTGTTAATCGGCCACTTGTCATGCTATGATGCTACAGACCTGGCTCTACAGATAACACAAATATTAATAACCAAGAGCCCTTCAGGGACTCGGAAGTGAACCAGAGAAAGGGTAAAGGTCTGCCAAGGTAAACTCTGGGCCCACGCAACTTTTCCGGATGGGCTGCTACAAACACCTCTCACGGAGGGTCCTACTCTCCCTCCTGGGATGCTTTTGCAGGTCCGACAGTGGCCTCCTTCAAACCGCCCATCCCTGTTCTCTTCTTCTACTCACTCCCCCGCTTTTTCTTTCTTGGGAGCTATCAATGGTCCGCACAAACCGGCCATCCCCTAGTCTGCCATATGGTTCCAGAGCAGCCAAGAAAAATCAAGAAACATCTAATTCTGAGTAACAACAACAGTATTTCGACATGCAGCCAAATCCCTCTTTACGATTTTACGTTCTCGGCTTACAGAACTCCTTGATTGAAACATAAACTCGTGCTGAAGACTTCTCAGTACAGTTCTAAGGGGACCCCGAGCCCCCTTGGTCTCCCCACCCCTACTGCTGTCACCAATAGGAGGGGTTGGCTACCCTAGATTATGTATTTTGGTCCATGTCCAAAAGGGGTTAGCCCTTTCCAGGCTCAGCAAACATACCCTGATGTGCTAATAGCCCTTAATGAGGACATCTGCCATCAGTTAAATAACTGGAACAGGCAGAATAGTAAAACAAACTCTCTCTGTGGTTCAGAGTTGCAAACTGCTGTTTGTCATGTGATGTTGCTGGACAACCACACGTCTCTGCACACGAACGTGCGTGCACACACTCACGCGCAAGGGTTGCTCTCTCCTACCACCCAGAGACACCACAGGCCATGAAATCACCTAGCACCACGTCTAGGACACAGCTTGTAAGTCAAAGTGATTCATTACACCACTAATAGGGGTTTTTTTAAGTTAAGGAGAGTGAAGTTTGGAGTGAGCCTCCTCCTTGCAAAAGTCTGGGTGCTTGCTACCTCTCTAATGAATAAATTATGGGTCAAGGGAGGGATATCAACTGTCAATAGTTTCAGATTCTCTGCTAAACCGCAGCTTTCTGTGTATTTTATGATCTACACTGGGTACTGCTGCAAGAACAACAGTTTAAGTTCTTAGTTCTTTGGTTAATATTTTGCATATCTTTTCTTTTCTTTCTTTTTTGAAGACAGAGTCTCGCTCTGTCGCCCTGGCTAGAGTGTAGTGGCATCATTATAGCTCGCTGCAACCTCAAACTCCTGGGCTCAACCAGTCCTCCTGCCTCAGCCTCCAGAGTAGCTGGGACTGCAGGCGCTCACTGCCGTGCCCGGCTAATCTTTTCCATTTTTAGTAGAGAGAGGGTCTCGCTCTTGCTCAGGCTGGTCTCCAACTCTTGAGCTCAAGCGATCGATCCTCCCACCTTGGCCTCCCAGAGTGCTAGGATTACAGGCGTGAGCCACCTCACCTGGCCCATTCTTAATCTTGTATTAAAAATTAAGATTTGGGAGTACTATAAATAAATATAGCAAATAAATAAAGCAAATAATAAAGTAAATAATAATCTTTTTTTTTCTTTTAAATCTCTAACATTTTAACTTGAATTTTTTTCAGTGTGATGTTCTAAACTTAACCCAAGGGCCAAAATGTTTGCAGCCAAGCACAGCTCTTATTTTATAACAGAACTCCACGGAGAATAGGATTCCCAAACAGTTCGTTTTCAGCAATTCTTAGTCAACATCTCTGTGACAGCTGCCATGTACACTTGCAAGCATACTTATAAGGAAGTGCAAATATGTTTATGGTCCTCCTGGTTTGCAGGTCACCACTGGAACCTTGGCAGGAGCAAGTTGTCACGTCCCATCACTACACAACTGCTACCTGGTGGTTCTCAAGCCTTTTTTTTTTTTCCTGCGGTGCCTTCCCCAGAGAAAGTAAAAAAAAAAAAAAAAAGACTCAATTTTGCTAAGCACACACGGATCCTTTCTTCACTGACAGGAAACCCCCTACCAAGCACAACCAAAGCTAAAACTTCCAGACCTCTGAAATCATTTATCAGGTCCTGCTACACCATTTTAAAAAATGGGTGTGGTGTGTACTTAAGATTTCCACAGTACGAGCTTGAGATACACGGTACTGAGCACATCAGGGATCGATCCAATAGTTCTAAGTCAGCTGGCCAGAGAGTCACAACTTGGATGCTCGGGGCATTCTAATTATTGTCTTTTTCTGAAGGTTTCTAAACTCTGCATTACG